GAAGTTGATGGATTTTTTTGAGAAGATCTTCCGAGAAACACTCGAAAATTCTGGAAAGCTGTCAGAATTTATGGGAAGTATTCGGATCTTCTAGATTTTTTTTTGAATTTCTGAGCAGTTCTGAGATCTTGTGGGAAATTCTCGGATATTTTGGAAAGTTCTAGTAATTTCTGGGAAACACTCGGAATTTATGGGACGTTCCGAGATCTAGAATTTCTAGATCTAGCAGTGCTCGGAATTTGTGAGATAAGCACACAAAACTTCTGGGAAGTTGTTGGAATTTGTTGGGAAGATCATCCGAGAAATTCTCGGAACTTATGGAAAGCTGTTTGAATTTCCGGGAAGTACTAGGATCTTTTAGAAGTTTTTGGAATTTCTAAGAAGTTCTGATATCTTGTGTGAAATTCTCGGATTTTTTGGACAGTTCTACTAATTTCTATGAAGTTCTCGTATCTGCTAGGAAGTTTGAGGGTCTTCTGGGAAACTCCCGGAATTTACGGGACGTTTCTAGATCTATAAGAATCTAGATCTAGTAGTACTCGGAATTTGTGAGAGAAGTACACAGAACTTTTGGCAAGTCGTTGGATTTTCTGTGAAGTTCTCGAAATTTATGGAAAGTCCCCGGATGTGCAGCTCCCAGAACTCCTGAGTAGTTACCGGAACTTCTGAAAAACTCTTTCATATTTTTGAAATTTTTAAGAAGGTCTCGGATTGTCAACTTCCCAGACAATCAAAGAATTTCTCAAAAATTCCAAGAATATTAGCATTTTCAAAGAAGTTCTCGGAAGTTGTGGGAGCTTTCGGATATTCTGGAAATTTCTCGGGATTTTCGGGAAATTTTCTGAATTTCTTGAAAGTTCTATAATGTTCTAGGAAGCTCTCGGAATTTGTGGGAAGTTCTCAAATATTCTGGAAAGTTTTCGGGTTTTTTAAAGCTCTCGGAATTTCCGGGAAGCTCTGGAATTTCTGGAATGTTCTGCGAAGTCCGAGTACTTTTGGGATGTTTCGAGACTTCTTTAACTATTTCTAGATTTTCAGGAAAGTTCAGAGAACTCCTTGATTATTCTTAGATTTTCAGGGAAGTTTCGAGAATTCCTTCTATGCCTAGAACTTTAGGGAAGCATCGAAACAATAAGAAAAGTTCCGTGAGCTTCAAGGAAGTTCCGTATATTTGAGGACTGTTATGGAAACTTGATGTAAGTTACGGAAATTTCCGAGAACTTCACGGACGTTCAAGGAACTCTTAATGTGTTCAAATACGACTTTAGAGAACTTATAAGTTTTCTAGAGTTTTCAAAAATTACTGGAACTTAGGGAAGTTCCGAGAACTTTATGTCAGTTCTCAGAAGAAAATTGTATTTGGTGAAATTCTAACCTACAGTTTCGAAATTTAACTGAAGTTCTCGAAACTCCTCTAAATCCCCTAGACCATGATGTATTCTAAATTTTAATGAAGTTGGAAATTTTTGCAACTTCTTTAAACTGCCTTTTCAACATAGTTGACCCTTTCGTTAAAACCGTAAGCTGAGAAAGACGCAGTTGAAGATTGTTTTCTCTTTGAACTCGTATGAATGGGACAACCTAGTTTTTTTTTGTATTTTTCGCGACATTTTCTGAACAAAGTAGGACAGTTTTCGTTTACATTGAAAAGTGATGTTACTTGACAATCGATTCCAATGTATAACTCATTTTCGCCAAAAATGCTAATGGAATTGTTGTGTCGCATAGGGTAGTAAAGTTCTCGGATTTTTTTCTGAAAATTTCAGAACAACCAAGAAGTTCTCGGCACTTCATTGAAGTTCTCGGAGCTTCCCTGAATTTCCGTCAAATTTTCTGGACACATTCGTATTTTTTTGAAAATTTTGCTAGAACCGGAAGTTGCCATATTGGAATGCAAAATAAAGTCATACAAAGATTTCCTACCTCTTCTACACATCATCTCAGTTCCATAACAGCCCAGTGGCAGGCGGGTAGGCAATAGGTTATACCGTGACAGCGTGCCCAGCACAGCAAAATAAACGATTTGAGCCCGGGACATGCTGTCTGCTGTCAAACGCTGCTGTTGGTATAGGCCTTGTCACTGGCCCATTATGTGGGGTACTTACCAGTTTTTTTAGAGTCAGAAATTGCCATTTTGGTTTCTAATATGGAGTCAAACATTGATTTCCGGTCTTAACACGTCGTCGTCGTTCTAAAACTATCCATATTGTTGGGTTTGAAAATATCTGTATTCCCAGTTTAGTAAAACTTGCAAGTCGCCATCTTGGACTTCAGAAATCCAGAAGTCGCCATTTACGATGAATAAAAATGCATATAACATTATCGGCCTCAGAACGTCGGCCCTGTTCCAAAAATACCCATATTGTTGGGTATTGGACCATTTTTCATAGTGGATGTCAGAGACGAACCAGCCAACGACAACGAAAGTCTCTATAATAAAGAAATCAATCAATCAATCAGTGGATGCCGCCATCTTGGATTTCAAAATGTTGTCAAACATCAATTTTCGGCCTTTACTCTCGTTCAAGTTTCAAAACGACGCATATTTGAGAATATTTGACAGTTTTACACAAACTGAAAGTCGCCATCTTCGATTCCAGAATGACATCAAACATATTTCCGGCTTCTGCACGTCGTCCCCGTTTCAAAAATACTCATATTGTTGGGTATTTGACAGATATTTACAACCGGAAGTCGTTATCTTGGACCTTAATGTGGCATCAAACATCGATTTCCGGCCTCTACACGTCGTCTCCTTTGCAAAAAATACCATATTGTAGGGTAGCTGACAGTTTTCCACAAACCGGAAGTCGCCATCTTCGAATTACAAGGTGGCATCAAACATCGATTTCCGATCTCTACACATCGTCCCTGTTCCGAAATCATTTATATTGTTCGGTATTTGACAGTTTTTCACTTGAATTCGATTTCCGACCTCTACACGTTCGTCGTCCCCGGTCTGTAAATATCCATATTGTTGGGTGTTTGGCAGTTTTCCACAAATCAGAAGTCGTTATCTTGGATTTTAGAAAAATGGAAGTTGCCAAATTGGATTAAAAAATGACATCAAACGTCGATTTCCAGCCTCTTCACATCGTCCCCGTTCAAAAAATACCCATATTGTAGAGTATTTGGCAGTTTCCCAAAAACCGGAAGTAGCCATCTTGAATCCCAAAATGACGTCAAACATCGGTTTCCGACCCCTTTTCAAAAATAATCATATTGAAGGACATTTGACAGTTAGCTAGGATTTTAGAGAACCGGATGTCGTCATCTTGGATTCCAAAATGGCGTCAAACATCGGCTTCTACATATCGTCCCCGTTCTGTAAAACATCCATATTGTTTGGTGACAGTTTTCCACAAATCAGAAGTTTGGATTTTAGAAAACTGGAAGTCGCCATATTGGACTCGAAAACGGCATCAAACATCGAATTCTAGTCTCAAGACCGTTCCAAAAATACCCATATTGGAAGTCGCCATTTTGAATTTCAAAATGCCGTCAAACATCGATTTTCGGCCTCTACACATCGTTCCCGTTCTCAAAACATTAAAATTGTTGGATATTTTCCACAAATCGAAATTCGTCATTTTGAATTTCAAAATGACGTCAAACATCGATTTCCGGCCCCTACTCGTTGTCCCCGTTTCGAAAATAACCATATTGAAGGACGTTTGACAGTTATCTTGGGTTGTAGAAAACCAGATGTCGCCATCTTGGATTCCAAAACGGCGTCAAACCTCGATTTCCGGCCTCTATAAAATACCCTTATTGTAGAGTATTTGGCAGTTTCCCACAAACCGGAAGTAGCACTTGCATCCCAAAATGACGTTAAACATCGATTTCCAACCACTACTCGTTGTTTCCTTTTCAAAAATAACCATATTGAAGGACATTTGACAGTTAGCTAGGATTTCTACATATCGTCCCGTTCATATTGTTGGGTGACAGTTTTCCACTAAACAGAAGTTTGAATTTTAGAAACGGCATCAAACATCAATTTCTGGCCTCTGAACATCGTCCCCGTTCCAAAAATACCCATATTGTAGAGTACTTGACAGTAATTCACAAACCGGAAGTCGCCCTTTTTGAATCTCAAAATGACGTCAAACGTTGATTTGCTGCCTCTACACATGGTTCCCGTTTTCAAATCATTAAATTAAATCGGTATTTTCCATTGGAAGTCGCCATTTTGGATTCCAGAATGACGTCAAACATCGATTTCCGGCCCCTACTCGTTGTCCCCGTTTCGAAAATAACCATATTGAAGGACATTTGACAGTTATCTTGGGTTGTAGAAAGCCGGATGTCGCCATCTTGAATTCCAAAACGGCGGCAAACCTCGATTTCCGGCCTCTACACGTCGTCCCCGTTCTGTAAATATCCATATTGTTGGATGTTTGACAGTTTCCCACGAATCATAAGTCGTTATCTTGGATTTTAGAAAACCGGATTTCGCCATATTGGATTCAAAAATGGCATCCATCATCGATTTTTGGCCTCTACATATCGGCTCCGTTCAGAAAATACCCATATTGTAGAGTATTTGGCAGTTTTCCACAAACCGGAAGTAGCCATATTGGAATTTGGAAAACCGGAAGCGGTAATGATGTTATCATTATTTAGGTAGATAATTGATAATCTGACAACTTTGTGCAACACTCCAACTGTTAAGGAATCTCAAAGAAGTATAATTTTGTGGAGGTTCAGCAAGTTCTGGAGTAGTTCTAGAAGACTGTACAGTACCGGACAGAAGTACACTCAACTCTCCATATCTCGATATGTGTCTACGTTTTATATTAAGTCGATGGTTATCTCCGTCCCTTCAAACGGTCTAGTTGGAACCAGATTCCCTGTATGTATTGAAATGAGAAAAAATCTTCCGGATGTCTTCCTGGAACATGAGCAATTAGAGACTAAGACCTAAAACAATATCATCCAACACGGTCCAAATTTGCATACTGATTCGCTAATGCTTCTTATCGCCTCTCCCCTTCCAGGTGCACGAATACCTCCGCACGAAGCTGTGCTCACTGTACGAGAACGACTGCATCTTCGACAAGTTCGAGTGCTGCTGGAACGGCAACGACAGTTCGATCATGACCGGCAGCTACAACAACTTCTTCCGCGTGTTCGACCGCAACAGCAAGAAGGACGTCACGCTGGAAGCGTCCCGGGACATCATCAAGCCGAAGACGGTCCTGAAGCCGCGCAAGGTCTGCACCGGGGGCAAGCGGAAAAAGGACGAAATCAGCGTCGACTGTTTGGACTTCAACAAGAAGATCCTGCACACCGCCTGGCACCCCCTCGAGAACATCATCGCCGTCGCCGCTACCAATAATCTATTTATATTTCAGGATAAGTTTTAGCTAATAGTAAGCGTAGTAGTAATAATCAATTATAAATGTTTAGGCTGAAACAAACAAAAAAAAAAGGAAAAGAAGAGATGCAAGAAACTGATCAAGAGTGGCAGAGCGTCAGCGAACAATACGATCGATGATGGGTATGAGAGGCCGAAAGTGGTACGCAGATTAGTATTGAGCGCAGAAAAATGCAGAGAGTTGAATTCGAGAAGCGTAATATAGCAAATAGAATCATGGTGGTATATTTCGAATAGAAATGATACAAGAGAGGAGAAGTTATGAAATTAAAACACAACAACAAACAATGTGAAAGCTTTTTATAATATACCATAAATAGAGGAGAAACAAATACAAACAAACGGAGAACTCACACATAAACAGCAGCATAAAGGAGAAGCAAGGAAGGCAAAGAAAAAAAAAACAATTATTATTACAGAATTATCCTTAATTAAACGAAAAGTAGCAAGCAGAGCAAAAGATAAAAAAAAAAACAAGAAAATCAACAAAAAATAAATGCAGGACTAAAAAAACACACACACAGAAAATTGAGATAAGAAGACGAGTGCAGCAGCAGCAGCAGCAGCAGCAACAACAAAAATAAACACAGCAGCGGCGCATGTAAATCGTGTATGGATGCATGTATGAATGGGGACACGATTAGAAAAGTGTGCATGACGGACGGATGGATGTGTGATAGATGTAAAATGTTTAAAAAACAAACACAAAAAAAAAATAGGAAGAAAGGAAAGGAATGAAGGAGCAACAGCAGCAGCAGCAGCAGCAGCAACAACAACAGCCGAAACGATTACGATTATTATCAATTAATTGATAGTTTAGTCTTAAATTTGATCATCTTTATCATCCAGTAACAACAAAAGCAGCCACAGCAGCAGTGAGCAGAGAGTTAATATCGCAACGCCATCAACATCAACATCATCATCATCATCATCATCGTCATCATCAGTTTTATTGATTAGTCCTCTATCGGAAAACAGTGCGAAAATCAGTGACCCTCAGTGGGAAAAATGAAATCAAAACACATAAACAAAAGTTACAATGAAACAAGCAAATCATGAAGCCCCACAGATAGTAAACAAACAAACGACAGACTTACACAAACTTAAAATGGTACACACATACCAACTTGTTGCATTCTTTATTATTATGAACATAGATTATTGAAAGTATTTGCTTTAATTGGCAGGGGTCATCTCCGCCGGATGGCGATGGTATCATACCACCCATCCACACACAGACTTACACATACACACACACACAAACACAATTCTAGAAAGTTCTGAAAGAGCCGCGATGGCGGCGGAATCTTTCTCCAGCTTTTCCTTTTTTTTAAATGAAAAAAGAAGACCATTAATCATGTAACAAAAAGCAAAACAATTGTGGAACAAGAAGAAAACGAATATGAAGCTAAGAGAGTGAAACAAAAAAAAACACACAGAACATTCGGAAATAAGAAATGGCAAAGTTTGGCTTGCGATGTGAGTGGACTACGAACGAACGAGAGCGAGAGAGAAAGTGAGGCACAGCGTAGAGTGAGGAAGGGTTTGGGAGCGCTTTTCTCGTCGTCGTCGTCGTCATCATCATCCGACCGAACGCTTTTGTTGGAACAGATAAAAAAAAGATGTGGTGTTATTTTTGGAAGCTTCGAAAGCCCTGCCGAGATAATCTGATCAGCAGCCCTTGACTGAACACGAGTGTTTTCTCCATGAAGTGGTGATTTGCCAAATAATCTACAGAAGGTGTCTACTAACGGTCCACGGTCGATACAAAAACAAATGTGGATTAACGTCAACGAATGACTTGGTGCACGTGGTCAATCCGCCACATCTTCCTCGTTTCTGATTGCAGCAAGACATATTGAGGCCTATTCTGCGCCGTGAGTGAGGTGAGGTGGCAAAAGTTACCGCGATTGAGGTGACTCATTTGATTTGCACGGAGAGTCACCCAGGCTTGCTTAAACTCCGTATAGATGCTCATTCATTGTGAGCTAGTTCATCCCTCACATATTAAGAGCAATGATGTCAAATCCAAAGAGCGCAAAAGAGTTCGAGTTCAGATTGATGCTCAAGCTGGACTTCCACAAACACGCATCACGATGAGTGATGCGGGGTTCGTTCTTGAGTGAGGCGTGATTTACATCAGCCGTAAATATAGAGCTTCGTTATGCATTCGGAGAGAGCACGCACGACCTTTGATTGATGCACGGTTCTTCCATTCAATAATATGATACATAACAATACATTCTATGGACTATAGGACCATTCCCAGAGAACGTAACAATTTGAGAGATTGATGTTTTATTTGTTTAACTTGAAGACCACTTTTTGGGTTACTAAAACTCAGTCACAAAAAAATCTTTGATCGTTTTTCCCGCTAAGTGCTTTATGAGTGGATAAACGAAATTATATTTCTGACTTAGAATGTACGAGGGAAAAACTAGTAAAAGCACTAATTACTCCGTATTATCCCTTGGTGATGTTTGCGTGTTCTCCTGTTGCCTTATAACACGTTCATTCATTCAATTCGCTACCTTCGCTGCACAACAAGGTAGCTTGGAAATCTTTCTAGACCAACAATTGAAATAGGCGGAACAACTCAACGTAAGCAATGGCTTTGAACACAAAATTCTCAAGAATCAAAACTACCACTACCACGTAAACTAAAATTCTAACAACTCGATAAAGGAAGTTTGCTCTATCAGATGATGGTGTTAGCACCGACAAACAGACATAACCCATTGAATAATTCTCACTGTAAAACATCGTCGCTAAAACATCACCGCCATCTCTTGAGTACACTGTGGTGGGCACTACTCTGAACAGATGGCGGTAGTGTGTAAACGTCAAACGAAAGGGAAATGACTATGAGCGCCACAGGTGGCGGCACTACCAACTACGATACTTTTAAATTGTCCGTTAAATGCTTGTTCGATGAACAACTTGCAAGCGTTATGTCTGTTTGTCTGTGGTGTTAGATTGTTTGGATGGGCTTTGATTTTCGAGGAATTTGTGTTTAAAGCCATTGTTTACGTTTGGTTGTTCTGCCTATTTCAATTGTTGGTCTAGCGTTGTTTAAATCTGGTGGAGTCTGAATCGAATAATTCGACAGTGAGCATGCATAAGGGCGTATACGCGATGATCGATTCTCTTCATCGTTTTTCTCTTTGCATTGCTACAGCTAAGCGAAACAATTTTGTAGAATTTGTTCAATGTAGAGTTGTAATAGGTTGTATTGGCTTTCAAAAGCAACAACAAACGCACCGACAAACGTTAAATCTAGCGAGTTATTAAGAAAAGAGAAAATCGATGAAGAGAATCGATCATCGCGTATACGCCCTTATGAATGCTCACTGTCGAATTCATAACCTAAACTGCCTATAATCGCATATCAGTCCCATATGGATAGGAAATCAAGCAAAGATGGGACTGATATGCGATTATGGGTAGTAAAGTTGGTTGCAAGATGTCGCAAAAACGCAAATAAAATTTTATGCATACGTTCCACAATGTTTTTTTTTTTCATTTCTTGGTTGTGCACTTCTTTCTCGAATACAATACAAAAAGTTGGAAGGGTTGTATACTAGATACGACCGCACGGTTGGCGTTGGATAACGTCTGTTATGTGTACTTAATTGTGTATATTATATTTTAGGAATATTCCTTAATAACTCTTTTGCGAAAGTTTGGTGGCCCTGAAAAGGGCCGTTTTGTTGGGCTGATGTTGTTGGGCTCTACTCTGTCGCTGACCTCAGTCATTTTTGTTACTGGTGAGCTGATACCTTAACTATTTATCTTTAAAATTCCGATAACAGCTTATTTGATTATGCAAAGATAAATACCTTAAGGGGGGAAGTACAATTAGAAGGCCTAAAATTAGGTCTATCTTTGAGAGTGGATTGCGAGTAGGGAAATAAATGAATGTTAGCGATTCTTTATGTATGTTATTAAGGATTTAATGAAGATTAATTATCAGTGACATTTTTTTAAAATTTTACAATTTAGCCCAATTATTATAAATAATGTGAAGTCAATTTTTTAAAGCAGCACTTCGCGCCGTGCAGTCCCTACGTCCATGATCACGTCTGAAAAAAAAACGACATTAAATTTGAAGGTACAGCGCACAACATGAATTAATTCGTATGTAAAAATAATGTTTTTTTTACAAAAAAATTTGAAGTTGAAAAAAAAAATTAAAAAACCCTATTTTTTTCGACTTTGTTTATAAAAAAAAACATGTTATAACAAACAAATCTAAAAAATCTTTCTATTCATGTTGTGGAGAATTTAATTATGAACATAAAACAGAAAACCGGAATCGATTTGAATGAAAACTCTGACCTGTACATTGCACGGCGATTTTGAAAACACTACTTTTCAGTAGAAGCATTTAAAGTTCAACTTTGACATGTTCAGCCATTTGACATGCACTCACTGAATTGCGTATAACTTTTTAAATAAGTTCCGAACGGCTTTATGCTTTTAAAGGCTCATTCCCAGATACATATAGAGTAAATTAAGCCAACAAAATTTTTTTCGGAAAAAAAAATTCTAATTGTACTTCTCCCCTTAATTAACATTTTTAAACTGTGTTACCGGAAAATATCAAAATATTTCGTGAACAATCAACAATTCAACATTCGCGTTTATCTCCCTGGCACAGACTTCAAAATCTTACATACACACTTAGATTTTTTCGCCGAGATGGGCACCACCGAGCAGCTCGGCATTTTATTTTGCTGGATCTCAGTGAAAAACTTGCCGAGATTCAGCTAACAAACGGGAATTTTGCCGAGATCTCAGCTAACAAACATATTTTTTGCTGAATTTCCAGCAAAATAAAATGCCGAGCTGCTTGGTGGTGCCCATCTCGGCAAAAAAATCTAAGTGTGTAGGTCTGCTGTCTCTTGTCGACTAATCCAAACAGTGTATCTACCTTATTCAAGCCGAAATGTCTGAAGTTGCAACCGTAGCCGCTGCTGCAGCACCAGCTGCCACTTCGCCAGCCAAGACAAAGAAGCCAAGGGCCCCGAAGGGACAGGGCAAACCCAAGAAGCCATCGACCCATCCCCCAGTGAACGAAATGGTTGTTGCCGCCATCAAAACCCTGAAGGAACGCAACGGATCGTCGCTGCAGGCCATCAAGAAGTACATCGCTGCCAACTACAAGTGCGACGTTGCCAAGCTAGCCCCGTTCCTTAAGAAGTCTTTGAAGAATGACGTCGAGAAAGGAACGATTGTCCAAACCAAGGGAATCGGTGCATCGGGATCATTCAAGTTGAAGGCTGAAGCCAAGAAAGCCGCCACTGAGAAGAAACCGAAGAAGGCTGCCGGCGAGAAAACAGGCAACAACAACTCAGGCGTTTTCATTAATTTCTTCTCTCGATTCCGGAAGTGCACGACGTATCTGGAACTACCACACCAAAATGTATGCAGAATATTGTCGGTACTGGATTAGTAGCGGTAACCAGCAGGACCTACGTTGATTTAAGCTTAACACCCGCAGATTGATGAACGCTCCATCACATCACTTCAACCTTTCACATTCTGGCAAGAAAGTCAATTCTAAAACACCTTTTAAATGTATATGGTGGCCCTGAAAAGGGCCGGTTTTTTGTTCTGAGTCGATGATACTAAATTAACCCCCGAATCCATACAGAGTAAGTCCCTGCCGCTTCAGAGCGTAAACGACATCCATGGTGGTGACCGGAGGAGTAAAGAAGCCCAATCGCTACCGGCCAGGCACCGTCGCCTTGCGTGAGATCCGTCGCTATCAGAAATCCACCGAACTGCTGATCCGAAAGTTGCCTTTCCAACGTCTGGTCCGTGAAATTGCCCAGGACTTCAAGACCGATCTGCACTTCCAGAGCTCAACTGTTATGGCTCTGCAGGAAGCTAGCGAGGCCTATCTGGTCGGTCTGTTCGAGGATACCAATCTGTGTGCCATCCACGCCAAGCGCGTCACTATCATGCCGAAGGACATCCAGCTGGCTCGTCGTATTCGTGGAGAACGCGCTTAATTACCCCGTCTAAATCTTAACAAAACCCGAGGGGGATGACTCTATCTACGATGCAGAAAAGATTGTGTTTTGCTGTGGCTAGCTGCGCGCACGCTGAGTAGACAGAAAGAAGATTGATGACGATTCTGAAGATTTTCTGCAAAAAGATGATGCACGATGCAAGTAGATGCGCCAAATGAAAGAAGATTTTTTGAAGATTGATTCGCTAGTGTGAGATTTGTTGAGCATCTAAACTTGAGATTTAGATGTGTCGCCCCCCTCGACAAAACCGGCCCTTTTCAGGGCCACCACAATAATTCAAAAGAGTTGAAGTGACCTTTAAAATTTAAAATCGTTCGTTCCGTAGATTAAGTAACGAAGTAGAACGTGTGCGGGGGTTTGTTTTCGAGATTTTGAAAACAAACACATCCGGGTCCGGTATATGATTTGGCAATGAATTTCACTTTATTTTCATGTAGCATCAAAGTGAAAAGGTCTTTGCCCAATCCACTAGAAAATAACATATATTTTATGGTACTTTCTAAGTAAATTTTATTATGTTTTCAAGATTCTCGTAGCATCTCCATTGTTAAGAATTTTAAAATTATTTTTCGAGATAAAATATGGCTCTGCGAAGATTCAACTTTCGATATTCAAGTGTCGGAAAGGCATTAGAAAATTAATCGTTAAACTCTTTCTTGATAATGTTGTGGCCCTGAAAAGGGCTATTTTTCCAACGGGCTCGGTGTAGTTGCCCTTGCGGAGCAGACGGTGAATACGACCGACTGAGAACTGCAGCAGCTGGGCATTCCATGACGGCGGCCCAGTATACCGGAGCACTGGCACCAACGCACTCGGCGTAGTTGCCCTTTCGCCCCCAAGCTCTGCTGCCGCTGCTCTGCTTCCGCTGCTCTGCTTCCGCTGCTCTGGTACTGTTGCTCTGCTGCTGGGTCGACGATCGGATAGACAATCCCCCCTATTCTGCGAGTCACGTGACTCTCTCTCACCGGTGAGGTGACAATAGTCACCTCGTGTGAGGTGACTCTCCATTTAATTTACATGGAGAGTCACCTCACACGAGGTGACAATTGTCACCTCACCGGTGACAGAATCACGTGACTCGCAGAATAAGGGGGAATGATGGAACGGGCGACCTTGTTGGACGCTTATATAGTAGAACAGAAAATATCAGAGGTGTCAGATACTCGCATCTGATGTCTCGGTTGGAGAAAGTATAAGAATATAAAAAAATCAATCGATTTTCACCATCTTTACACGCAGAGAAATGGCTTTTAAATTCAAAAATAAACCGCTTTGAATTCAACAAAAATTATTATAGAATCAGGGCCTAATAGTAATTTTCTTTGAATCAACAATATTTGTTATTAGTTTCAAAGCAAATGTTTGTTGATTTTACAATCAAGCTTCCATATGACTGTGAGTAGATTCAATAACATTTTTATTTGAATCTATCATATGAATTTTTGAAACAAAGCAATTATTTTTATTTCAATGATGCGCTTCTTTTTTGAAACAAAAAAAAATCTTTTTGATTAAAAAAAATGGTTTTTTGTTTTTAAGAAACCTTTTGTTGATTCTAATAACTTGATTTACCGTAATATTTAAATTTTTATTGGCCCTATTATGTAAGTCGAGTCGAGCGTCACTTCTGCTTACTGGTCTATTTTGGTTTTACAGAAGTAATAACAAAATAGACCAGCGACCAGAAGTGTCACTCGACTCGATTTACATAGTAGGGCCCTATTGTTTAACTAAAACTTTCATGATACTTTTTGGTTTTCAAACAATATTTATTATATTTACATAATTACAGCATCTAAATAACAATCTTTCTTCTATTTTATGCAGATTGATTGTACACATTTCAAGAATGTTAATGTTGGTGATAACTGTTCTTTCAGTTGTTTTGTTGCTGTACAGTCAGCTCTTGTTACGTCTGGTTCATGAATGGCGAGAAGCGTAGGTGGAAAAGGCGACGGCGCTGATTCAGCCAACGGCGGAAGATTCTGGTTAAAAGGAATAAGACATTGCTGATTTGATTCTTTTAATAAATTACGGTTTACTCACCAGGCTTTTTCTCCATGCATTGATTCCGTGGATGCATTTAGTTCTTTCCGCTAAAAATGGCTGCTGGATTAGTTCCTCCACTTCCTTCCGTTCGATAAACTTCAGAATATCGACAGTGTATCGGTTTGCTGGAATAATCACAAATATTAGAATCTTCATAGTACAATTTTCTTACCAATGAAAGCACAAACTACAGCATCGCACAACTCAAACGATTTCAATAATTTTAACACTTCCAATTCATCCACACCTAGCGTTTCCACTTCCAACTCTTCAATGACGACTTCTTCCGACGAGTCCATTTTTCCGTTTGCGTGATTTAATAAAATGGCGGAGATCATATCATTTTCAAAGGCATATTTTTTGAATCTAAAACCAAGATCTTTGTTTCTAATGTAAATATTTTAGAACCAATTCTGCCCTGTATTAGAATCAAATAAACATATTTATTGATTTGACAAAAATTTTGCATTTGAATCAAAGCGTTAATATTTTTGATTCTAATATGCCGTATTTTTCTGCGTGTAGACAATGGTTTACTTTTAACCATTTTTCAATAGTTTACAGAATGAAATCAATAGTTTTGAAACATTCAGCAAATTACTAGAAATATTTCCAATCGATTGATGCCATTATCTCGTAAATCTATCGAGAGACGGTTGAGTTATTATCGTTCAAAATCTTTAAATTTTTCGTAACGCATCCAAAATAACTGTTTTCAATTTTGTACCCCCGTATGTTGCCGAAAGACGTTATCCAACGTCAAAAGAAAAAGTGAGACTCCACGTGATTTTTCACGTAACAATAACGTGTCATTTATTTTGAGTGTAACGTTAGGATAAAATCAAAACATTGAGAAATATAGCGCATCACTTTCAGAAATACTTCACTTCGCAACCGATGAACCATTCTGACGGCCATATGAGTACCCAAGTTACCATATAGTCGCAATATAGCTTGTATATTCTTACTTTACTTGAGTATGGTTAGTTGGGGAATATTATGAAACTGTCACTTCTTGAAACTGATCCCTTTCGTATTTCTTTCATTCTCTTTTCGCACACGGAGCGCTCGGTGGACCAGCGACTTTGGACGTGAGCCTCGTCCCAGATCACCATGGCAATTCAATGACACATGGTGGACATGAAACCGACCAAAAAAGCGGAATCATATTAGAACCAAGGAACCAACCAAGGACGATCTACGGAAGAAAATTGCCGGTGAAGCACGGAATGAAATACAAAGCTTTAGAGAAAAAGTCCAAGGGATTCCAAAAGAAGCAATTAACGACGGCGGAAGTGCAGAATATGGTGAGAGCTTTCCAATCATTAAAAAAAAAAATAATGTCAAAATTAAACTAAATACATGCCAGGTTTGAAAAATATTTTCGAACCTGGAAGCAGGCTTGCTTCCACTCACTTGCTATAAAAAAAATGTTTTTCGGAATTATGAAATCATTAGATATCATAATGATAGTTAGTAGTTGTAAGTCTCAAGATAAGGTTGTAAACTAGGTGTTTGACACATAAAACCTGACATTATTGCTTTCAGTGCGTCACAATCAACGATTTAACGACTCGTGAGCACTCACTCTGAGTGAACGCTCACGAGTCATAAATTCGCTGATTGTGATGCACTGAAAGCGAAATTGACAGGTTTTATGTGTCAAATGCATACCTTCCAACCTCTTCTTGTTTCTGACAAGTACAAACTTTCATAATTGCATCCAATGATTCCATAATTCCGAAAAACATTTTTTATAGCGAAGTGAGTGGAAGTAACCCTGCCTGGAAGTGTGTATATATAACCAATATCCATTTGATAACGGTGATGCATACATGCGGGGCTTATTGTGAGTGAAAGTAACCTCGGAATGGGCGTGACTCTCCAGACATTCTGAAATAGGTTGCTGGATCTGCAATAGAGCTATCACCTTCTAACTCCCGCACTAAAGCTGTCTACAATGACCATAAATGCGACATTGTAGAGAGAGTTCTTCTATAATAACACTGCCGGCCAGTGGGGGTTAGAGGGCATACACACACACACACACATTGGCCAAAATTGGTTTTTTTTTATATATAATCCTAAAATAGACCTAGATTATTTAATAGTCTATTAACTTCAAGTCCGCGCTCGGTCACAATTTGTATTGTGATTAATCAACACTCGGGTAAAGTATAAAATTTGAGATGAATTTGAAACAAAGGGTACTTGAAGTGTAGAGTGCACTGCCGACCGGTTGATGCTGAAGTCTGGTCAAGCAAGTGCGTTAGGGTCTAATGATTTCTAAATGTACAATACAGTGCAGGTGGATATTTTATTTTATAAAACCAATTTGACTCTAGAACAATTTAAAACTCGTTCTGCATTATTCACATGTTGCAATTATTGAAAAAAAAAACTCGATATAAAGTAGCTTAATACAATCAAATTGAAATGCCCAAATCTTACCGAGTAGTTCAGCTGTTCTGATTTCGGTAGAGTTTGTTGAGATCGGGTATAGTTTCTGTGTATGTTGTTTGTGGATTCGCATTTTGAAATAACTCAGATTAGCACGGAGTAATAGTTTTATTGCTAGGGAACTTTCTTTTGGGATAGTCTTTTCTTCATACAATTCTCATTATTCATTCTATATTAGTCATGATCAGTCTTAGAAAATGTTGTATGTTTAAGCCCAGTTCTAGATTAGTTTGTTAATAGTATCTTTTGCATTGCAACTTGCGAGAGGCTACCAAATATGGGTCCTCTTTTTCATCCGCAATAGTTTGGGGGGAGGAGGCGATCTGAGAGCTGAAGAGAGGCTAATAAAGTAGGGAACACCCCATGACCCAAACGACTAACCAACGCATGCGGCTCACACTTAACTTGTTCTATTTCTTTCTATTTCATGTACCAATATTACCTGCGTGAGAACAAATGGGAACACGGCC